TACAGCTACTATCTAATGAGTTTGGAACAGCTTGCTTTTCTTTTTTCTTGTGGCCCTTTTGCCAGATACTTATTCTGCAGGGTTCTCATATTCTTGGTATAGCCAACAAAAATTCCATAGGACAGGTGGTATCTTGTGTTAGTTCAAAAGCTTACAGAATCACCTTCATGTTCACAAGTTGACACCTTTCAGAGCAGTTATCCTAATTTTGTATGTGATTTGTGCAGCAGAACCAGCTTTATATTTTTTGATGTAAATTCAGGGTAGACACTTGAAAATTAGTGTGAAGCAGGTGCTGGTCTAGGAATTTTGCATATAATGAACTGTTTCCTATCTTACAACCTTGAAACTGTAGACAGCATATGAACCACTTTGAATTCTCCAGTTAGAAAAATATATTTGTATTGAGAGGTACAGTGGGGATGAAAATAGAATTTGATAGTATCTGGATCATCTTTAGGGATTAAAAATATACCAACTTTCTTCTTCAGTGAATCATGCCAAGTACCAGAACTTGCCTGAATGATATTGTTAGCCATTCTCCAACCTACAAGGTGGATTGCTATTCATTTTTCAGCACCACAATCTTCAACCCCAAGCTTTTATTTTTTTTCTCTTTTTTTCCTAAAGAGGTTTCTGTGGTGTTTCTACATAGAAAAAGACAACTGCAAGAGGGATAATTCATTGTCATGGAAAATAGTCATTTGTGTATTCAGCAAATATTTAAGTAGTCAAGCATAGTGGCTAAAAGCATAAACTCTGAACCTAAATTGCCAAAGAGCCAAGTTCCTCTGCCCGCGAATTAGGTGACCTGAGGCAGGTTACTTAATCTATACATCTGTTTCATCATCTGTAAAATGGATATATAGTAGCACCCACTTCACAGTTTTCTTGAGAAGATTAAATGCATTAATTCATGTAAAATGCTTAGAACAGTACTTGACATATAATAATAACTCAACTGTTAAATATTATTATTAGAATTCTTTAGAAATTTAATACTGCTAATTTATTGGGAAGAAAACATTCTTTCTCAGCAACTTAGAAGATTAAAAGGATTATTTTTTTCCAGGTGGCCCCAGTCTAAAACACTTTATAGACTGATATGTAAATCTTTACAAAAGTTATGGCAAACATATTTCTGGGAGGAATACACTGATGTGTATGTGTGTGCATGTTGATTATAGTTGCCTGGCAAAAGATTTCAGGCAGATGTTTATATCCCACCTTTGAGCTATAATGTTTTAACAGAAAGCGACTAGCCACAATATTTAATCAAATTTCCTGATTTTTATCTACTGGCAAGTTGTCATTCTTGACTAAATTAATCATGTGAAGATTAAATATCACAATTATAAATTCAGGAAGCAAAACTATTACTTCTAGACTAGGATACGCTAGATTAATGTTCAAACCAATGGCTTTATGGACCAGCACTGGTCAGGACTTTAACATACTTTAATTGTATCTATTTATTGTTCTTTCTTTCCCTGCAAACACCAACCACAATGAAATGCTAGGGTTAGGGAAGAAATGATTTTCTGGTGCTAAAATCACACTGTTTCCAGTACGTGTAGTCTGATGTGTTAAACCAGGTGCACAATTTAAATTACAGAAGATCTGATTCTGTTTAACAGAGATATTTACCTATGTATGACTTTTACTTGAGAAATTGTAATTATTTCTACATAGCCTGTTCTTAAGAATTTACCATAGATAAATTCAACTACTTTTATATTGTATTGTTTTTTGAAAAAAATACTGTTGATATTATTAATATTAATGCAATAAAGAACTAGATAATATATCATCCCCATATAAAGATTATAACTGATTTCTTACAATCACACAGTGATTGTAATCATAAAGTATATATTTAATAATTTTTAATCATTGGAAGGAAAATATGTTACACATGAAGTTATTTATAAAAGTCTCAGACTTGTATTTTTTCTTCATTTGAGGCAGTACATTTCAACTATAAAGTATGTAACAGTCTGTTTTAGCCAAAAAAAACTCACCTTTCAGAGCTATAAAATGTACAGAATTGAAAGCTGACACCTAATATATTTTTCATTAGATACAGATGTTCAATGTAAAATTCTTTTTACAAGTATTCATGAAAAACAGGATAACTAAAAAGATATAATGCATAAAAAGTAAAAATCATACCTTTTGGTAAATTGTTAATGGGTTTTTAATGAAAGCAATTTTTTTCTTTTTATGATTTACGTGTTCTTTTAAGTATATTGTAAACATCTTATAACTTAAAATTATGAATATAATCTTCAAATTGCCATAGAATTTAATGAAATAAAAATATATAAAGATCTTTTAAAAATGGAAAATCTTGCAAGTAATGTGTAAAGAAATAATTCAACAATTTAAAGTTTATCTTCTTTATCTTAAAATTTAAATTTATTTGAATAACACTATAATTAAGAAAATTATTTCTAATATTTACTTTCTGTAATTTTGTGAAATAATTTTGTTATTATTAAAAAATGCAGCCTGGCGTGGCAGCTCATGCCTGTAATCCCAGCACTTTGGGAGGCTGAGGTGGGCAGACCACTAGGTCAAGACATCGAGACCATCGGAGCCAACATGGTGAAACCCTGTCTCTACTAAAAATATAAAAATTAGCTGGGCATAGTGGCATATACCTGTAGTCCCAGCTACTTGGGAGGCAGAGGTTGCAGTGAGCCGAGATCATGCCACTGCACTCCAGCCTAGCAATAGATTTCGGCAATAAAGCTGAGATTGTACCACTGCACTCCAGTCTGTGGCTAGTCACTTTCTGTTGAAAAAAAAAAAAAAGAAAAGAAAAGGAAAATGAAGGCCAATATGATGAATACACAATACAAATTCTGTTATGCTGGCTTTTTGTATTTTGGCATGCTACTTTCATTTCTGAACTGAGCTGCACACAGTTTTGAAATAAAAGTTCTGCACAGGCTACCTGTGTGGTGAATATTTAAAGCTACTGATGTTTTTCCACCTGCAGAAGTCATTATTCTAATTGGGGGCCAAAATATGAACTACCCAGTAGGGGAAAAAGAACATTCGTTTAAAAAGTAATTCTTTGTCCCTAAGACTGCCCCCCAAAATGGAAAAAAAAAATTCATTTTAAGCAGATGTTTCTTGAAATTCAAATATATTAGATATTGTGAGTTTAACTTAAATGGTAAATGGTTCATCTGTTGTTCCAGCCGGATTTTATTTATTTATTTATTCATGAGACAGAGTCTTACTCTATCGCCCAGGCTGGGGTGCAGTGGTGTGATCTCTGCTCACTGCAACTTCCACCTCCCAGATTCAAGCCATTCTCCTGCCTCATCCTCCCAAGTAGCTGGGATTACAGGCGTGCGCCACCATACCTGGCTAATTTTTGTAATTTTAGTAGAGGCAGGGTTTCACCTAGTTAGCCAGGTTGGTCTTGAACTCCTGATCTCAGGTGATCTGCCCACCTTGGCCTCCCAAAGTGCTGGGATTACAGGCATGAGCCACCATGCCAGGCCGCATTTTCAAATAATAAGAAAATTATTTCACAAAATTACAGAAAGTAAATATTATAAATAATGTAAGTAGTTTTCATATTCCAGGTAAAGGAGAAAATTAGGGATTGTGCAATAAAGGTGTCTGGAGAATGCCTCAGTGAGGACGGTGTTTAGCAATCTTAATTTTAGCAGTGAGCATGGTATGTATTGGAGAGAGAAGCTGAGGACAGAAAGAATAGCCATTGTTCTTGTTGCTAGAGGTTTAAGTATCACATTATGAAGATTTTTATTAAGGTTATAGCATGAGAAATAGAAGGAAGCTTGAATCTGTAGGACTTCTGACTAATAATTTACAGAAACATAAGGCAGGAAAATGGAATACTCTGAAACTTAGATTAATAGGAAACAAAAAAGGAGAGGGCTTTGAGAAAGATATGATTTGAAAGAGTATATAAGAAAGCAGTGCAGTAGCAGGATCTCAGCTCACTGCAGCCTCTGCCTCCCAGATCCAAGCCATCCTCCCACCTCAGCCTCCCAAGTAGCTGGGACTGCAGGCATGCACCACCATGACTGGCTAATTTTTGTGTTTTTGTAGAAATGGGGTTTCACCATGTTGCCCCATGGCTGGTCTGTAACTCAAGAGCTCAAGTGATCCACCTACCTCGGCCTTCCAAAATTCTGGGATTACAGGCCTGAGCTACTGTGCCCAGCCTACCTGTGTTATTATAATCAGGAAAACCATTTCAATAGAATCTAGAGATATGGTTTTATATATTGGCCATGTTATTAAAGTTCCCAATGGTGGTTTTTAAAAATATATACATGGCTCTATTTTAAATTAAAGAAAATTGATCTGGCTGGGTGCACCCCAGATTACATGACTGTAATCCCAGTACTTTTGGAGGCTGAGGCTGGAGGACTGTTTGAGCCCCCGGAGTTTGAAACTGCAGTGAGCTATGATCCTGCCACTGCACTCCAGATTGGGTAATAGAGTACAATCCTGTTGAGAGAGAGAGAGAGACCTACGTTGTTCTTGTAGTCAGACATACACCTAACAAAAAATACTTGTTCTGCATTATGTCCTGCCTTATGGGTCAAAGTAATTGAATGGGCCATTGAGGATGAGAATGGAATGATTAATGGAGGCCAAATTGTGAAATCACTGGTAAAGCTGGTTCTTTGAGTTTTGTTGATTAGTTTTCATTCCCCCGATTACTAAATGATGGAATTCTTTTACCCAGGATATCATTTTGCCACCTTTAATATGAAATAAAACTTTTATGCAGTTAGCACTATGTTATGAAAATATTAAATGCTGAAATTCTTGCAACCAACGGAAGATAGAAAATTCCAAAGAAATGACTATTTCTGGTAAGCTCCTATCCCAGATACGTAACTCAGCTAGAATAGCAATTTTAGTAATAAGATTGTGTCAAATATTTTATTTAGTGTGAATCTGACATTTTGATTTTCTTTTTATAATGCTTCTTTTTGTCATTTCAGGGAAGGAGATTACAGCAGAAACTTTTATGGAGAAGTTGGACAATGGTGCCTTGCTCTGTCAACTTGCAGAAACTGTGCAGGAGAAATTCAAGGAGAGCATGGATGTTAACAAGCCCACAAAGGTAAAAGATCCCAATGCAAAAATCACTCTTAGGTGGTAGATTACATTTATAATTGCTTATAAATTGAATGTAATTAAAAAATTTATTGTGAACAGATGCATCAAGGTCTATACTAACAACAAAGTACAGAGGGTTCTTTTTAATTAGGTAATGTGTTATTTGCACTCTACATAAATTGCATAATCCTTTTGGTGAATCTAATTAAATAAAAGCTTATGAAAAGTGATGGTATTAAAAGAGTGTTGTATATAAACTCAATGAATCTAAAGTATTGACTAAAATCTTAGCAGAGAAATAATTGTGTCATTAGGCAATGCACAAATCTAGCCAAGAAAGATTTACTGAATAGATCTTTGTTTTCAAAAATATTATGGCAGAATACTAGATCAAAATTTCTGGACTGTATTTTTTTGTTTATTCTAAATAATAGTACCATTGAACTAAGTAAATTTGGACAAATTATATATTTTATTTCTAACTACTCAGATTTCTTTTCTCCACATTAATTCTAATATTCTTTTCTAGTGATTATAAACACTTGATGAAAGTATGGTGTTTGACTTTTTTGAAGAAAACAAGAGAGATTGTACTTAATTTTTAATAGAGAATGAAAAGAGATATAAAAAATATTAAAATAATGTTGACTAGGCATGGTGGCTCATGCCTGTAATCCCAGTACTTTGCTTTGGGAGGCTGAGGTGGGCAGATCACGTGAGATCAGGAGTTTGAGACCAGTCTGGCAAACCTGGCCAAAACCCATCTCTACTAAAATAAATAAATAAATACATAAAAATAAATTAAAACAATTTAGCCCAGCACCATGACACATGTCTATAATCCCAGCGACGCAGGAGGCTGAGGCAGGAGAATTGCTTGAACCCAGGAAGTAGAGGTTGTGGTGAGTAGAGATCACACCATTGCACTCCAGCCTGGGTGACAGAATAAGACTCTATCTAAAAAATAAAAATAAAAAAAATAAAAATAAAAATGTTGAAGACAACTTACTACAGAAAGCAACTGTTAAGGCTTTTGTGCAACTCTGACAGAAAAAATAAAAGGGGTGTGTGTGTTTGTGTGTGTGTGTGTATATGTGTGTATTGCCACTGAATTTATTTTTTAGATATTTTATATTACTCTGTATTGTATAATATACAAAACCTTCCTCTATTTTTTTAAATCTTAAAAGCAGCTCTGTGAAGGTATTAATTAATTAAGTGGCTCCCAAACTTTACTGCACATTGGAATTACTTGAGCATCTTTAAGAAAAATGCTGAGAGCTGGGCTGGATGTGATGGCTCATGACTGTAATCTCAGCAGTTTGTGGGGGTCAAGGCAGGCAGATTGCTTGAGCTCAGGAGTTCAAGATCAGCCTAGGCAACATGATGAAACACCATCTGTAAGAAAAACACAAAAAAATTAGCAGGGAATGGTGGTGGGTTCCTGTAGTCCCAGCTATTTGGGAAGCTGAGACGTCAGGTTCACTTGAGTCCAGGAGGTTGAAGTTGCAGTGAGCCGAGATCACAACACTGCACTCCAGCCTGCGAGAAAAAGTGAGACCCTTTCTCAAAAATAAGAATAAAATAAAATAATACCGAGACCTGGATCCCATGCCTTAACATTCTGATTTAATCCCATAGGGTGAAACCTGGGCACTGGAATTTTTAAAAAGCACTCCAGGTGATTCTAATGCGCAGCAAAGTTTAGTAACCATGAATTTCTTTTAATTTTCTCCTTGATTGGATGGTTGAAGACTCTAAGTAATTTGTACAGGATTGGCTAGTAAATGACCAATCATGAAGTTGATACAGACAACTTTGCAAGTTTAATGCTGTCTCATTTTGGTTCATTATGGGTAGCCCAGGAGCAAGAAGACTGTTTATGAAAATGCTTTGTGTCAAGCTTAATGTTAGGACACCAATTTTTCTTCTGCTCTCATTTCCATCGTGATGTAACTGGCCTCTACATCAGCTACTGATGAGAAAATATAATGCCAATAAGAGGACAATTTGTATAGAAGGTTTACCGTAAAGCAATGAACAGAGGGAAATAAGCTGTGGTGCCCAGACACTTGATAGCATTACCTTCACATTATGAGGTTCCTGAAACCCGTATTGCTTGTTTTTGAGGATGGAGAGCCCAATGCCTCAGTGTTAAGAATCCTTTAATCCTCCAGAGTAATAAAGATTAACCAACTCTATTAAGGCCATTGTGCGGTTTTCTGGTTTTGCTTTGTTTGTAAGTCTTTGCTTTTTTAAAACAGAAGCAAAGATTCCCAAATAGATTTGCAATTGTAAGACTGAAATGTAAGATAACCCTAAAGCATTAGCCTATACGTCAGAGGCTTTGACATTAAGTGCATTTTGCTTGGGTTCTAGTTTTATTTATTCATTGGACATGTCTGAGCCATAGTTTCCTTATCCGTGAAATAGGATTAATACTTACACATGCATACCTTCCATAGAGCATTGCACAAAATAGGACTCTTGAGAAAATCTCTTTTTCCTATGTGAAAGGTAAGAGACCCTTATAAGAATTTTTGATTAACTATAAGAAAATAAATATTTTATAGTCTATGGCCATACCACCCTGAACATGACCGATCTCATGTGATCTCGGGAACTAAGCAAGATCGGGCCTGGTTAGTACTTGGAAGGGAGAAAATAAATGCTTTATAAATGTTTGTATTTAGCATGAGAGTTGCTATGTGCAGATATGTATACATTTGCCCCAATCTCCATGATAATATGTAATATTGAGGATATTTACGGATCGAAAGTTATGTAACTACTTTCCTTTTAAACATTTATTTCAATATTATAATTTTTATAATAAAACTATAAAACATAAAGATACAAAAGAATATTTTTCAGTTAGTAGTAGAACTGCAGCAAGTTATTAAACTTGAAATAGTTCTGTGAACCTAGGCAATTTTGTTTGACTGAATATGAAGCTAAATTTTTTTTCAGATTGTGATAAAGGTTTTAGTATAAAACCTTAAATGTGTTACTTGAACAAGTGCAGGTTTAAAAATACTTATTGCCATCTCACCAAAAAGTCACATGCACCTGTGTGTTCATAGCAGCACTATTCACTATAGCAAAGACATGAAATCAACCTAGATGCTCATCAACGGTGGACTGGATAAAGAAAATATGGTCCCTGTATACCACGAATACCGTGCAGCCATAAGAAACCAAACTCATGTCCTTTGCAGAAACATGGAGGCAGCTGAAGGCCATTATCTTAAGCAAGTTAATGCAGGAACAGAACCAAATGCCACATGGTCTCACGTATAAGTGGGAGCCAAATACTGAATACACATGGACACAAAGAGGAGAACAAAAGACACTGGGGCCTACTTGAGCAGGAAGGGCGGGAAGAGGGTGAAGGTCAAAAAACTACCTATTGGGTTCTATGCTCACTATCTGGGTGATGAAATCATTTGTATACCCAACCTCAACAAGGTGCAATTTACCCATGTAACAATCCTGCACATGTCTCCCCTCTGAACCTAAAATAAAAGTTGAAAAAAAATACCAGTTATGACCTCACTTTCACTGCTCAATACATCAAATTTGATCTGAAGTAAAAGTTGACATAGTTGCTCTTGACTGAATTGCCTTCTGTGTTCTTAGCAGCATTTATTTATTCACAACTGACCGCCAGTAATATGCAGCTTAAATCAATAATAATTTGTGCCTTACCATGTGAAAAGTGCAAAGAGCACTACATTTTCTTTTCTGCCTTTTATAGTAAAATTTTAAAAGATGAAAAGCCAAAACGTTAGTATGTATATCTTCATGGCTACTATTGTTCATAAATATACTTCTGTTGAACTCAAGATTTTCAGTTCATTTTTGGTCTAGAAACAAACAAAAAAAAAGTTATGAGATTGTAAGCATGTTGATATTATTAAATCTAAATACAAATTTAAACAATAATGGATTCACTACAACCCAGGTAATTAGGATTACAGTGAATATTTCCCATGAGAAAAAATGAGGCTTTAAAATTGAGTTTAAATAGTCTGGAGGTTACAATATTAAGTCTGCTTTTACATGTGTTTATACTCATGTGTTCATGTATGGTTTGTACAGAATTATTTCTCATTTGGCATTTTGAAGTTTCAAAAAAATGGTGGCGAAAATAGATGCATTAGTCAATACATTCTCTGAATTAGTGAAACTGTGCATAGGGAGATGTTGAAACAGAATTACTTTTAAAAAATTGACAACGAACTTGATCCCATCCAAAGCCATGCCACAGGAAGCTCTCTGTAATTTTTTTTCTAGCAGCTTTAATCTTTTCTCCTCATTTTCATAGCAATATTTTGTACTTTTCCTGGTTGATAGTTAATTTGGAGATTTTACAGCTGTGTAAACAAATTTGAACGAGTAAGTTATGCCTGGTATGTGTGAAGTATGTCTGTATTAAGGATGATCTAAATGCTCTTAAATCTGAAAGTAAATTTTAATAAATGTTAGTTCACATATTTAATATTTTAGATATAAATCCATGACTCTTTTATATCCAGCTTTGGTTTGATAAAATACTCTGAATGGAAACAATTCTGTCCTATGATTCTTTCTTGCAGACACCAATAGATCAATTTAAAAATAGCTTCTTTGTGTGTGTGAGCTCTAAGTAGTTAATCTTAGCTTTCGTGTAGTGGGCCATTTTCTAACTCTGCATAAGAGCAATGCAGAGACTTCGCAGAGTTGGGCAGTAGATGGGTGGAAACATTTGAGACCAGTGTGCAGCCGTTTAATGTGTAATTTTATTTAATTCATTTATAGGTAGTATAATATTATAAATTCACTGTAATTATAAATCTCAATATTTCTGGAGTTGAGAATGTTTAAAGACAAAAATATAAATGAAACGAATCTTTGCAGTATCGTTTTAGGATGAGAAAACCAAACCAAATGGCAAGTTTAAGGCTAAGTTTTATGCCTTTTGGCTCTCAGCTACCTGATCCAGTTGGCATCTCTAATCAAGAC